CACAGTATTGTCCTATTAACCCTACAAACTTGTCGATGGCTTGTCATTTGTACGCAGCCTTGCCTTATGACTGTTGGTTTCGGGGCGTTCTAAGCAGTAAATTGAACTAGATCGAGTCGAATGAGGATTTATGTCCAGCCTACTGTCGTTTGAACAACTAAATTTAGATTTCAAAGTTTACCGCAGCTAGTCGTGAACACTTGTAATTGGTGCGCAGCGTTCTAATCCGTTCACGCGTATGCTTGCGTGTTTCAGGAGTACATCATTATCCGCATGCTCTTGCATATTGTAACTAACTTACCCATCCATTTGTTATTGAATTCTCGCAGTTCCGTAGAAGTCATTTTCAGATGAGGTGTTACTGTACCGAGGGAGCACCGTATCTGAGAGAAGGAAGGAAAACTAAATACTCCGTGTTATCGGAACTTTCTTACGGTTTGGGTAGCTGTAGATTGGAGACTATCATTCTGATGCGTATAGCGCCGTCCAGCTGTACATCATCGTTATCATCGACGCATGCCATCAGTGTTCAACACCGATGCTCCGCTGCCGTACAACCAATGACGCACTATCTGAGCAGATGCCATTTGCCAATATGACTGAGATTCTTCGTCGCACCTGTCGCTATCAAGCCACGGAGCAACGAAGATCCGTCCGATAGACGGTTCATGGACATGCAGAGTACTCGGTTTAGCGTGTGACCTTCCTTCGTGAGGGGGTGGGGGTGGTACGGTGTAGTCTTATTGCGGACGTTGTCTAATCGAAAACCGGCTGATTGTTAGACAGCACGCTAGAAATTTGCAACGAAATCATTAATTACCTGGGTTCGCTAGCCTCGGCCATGTTTCTAACTCTTATGGAACCAAATATCAATTACCAGTAGTTATCAGCGGATCATTCGTTGCCCAGTTAAATCTCATGCCACGCCATACCGCATCCCAAAATGTACCATACGGTCTGCTCGCGAGATTGCGTAGAGCTGATGTGACTCTCTGATATGATATAGCCGACTCAAACTAAACTGTAGCTTTCAAAATTGCTTGGAGTTCATCGATTTTCCTGGAAGCGGTACAATATTCCATTCTGTACCTCTGCTAACAAGGCAGGAAAATGTCGACAGCAGGTTCACCGTTTCTTTACGCTTCTACTAGGGGGTGTTGTTTCTTATCAAGTGGCGTCAACCCCCGGTTTCATCCTTTGTTTAATCAGTTTCCGAAATATATATTTACATTGGACTTCCGTCTTAGTGAACATCTGTGAATGGAAGGATTGTTGTATTTCACGTTTTTTTAGTTTGCCCTTTTTGTCTTTGTGATTAAGTAAGAGGTTATGGTCATGCCCCTAGTTGTTTTAAGTAGGCTAGGATATAAACAGGTCACCCAATTTTGGACGGGTCCACGATTAGGGTCCCATAGCTATAAACATCTACAACGCCGCGGTAATGTGTTCAAGACTGCTGGGGCAGTGCCTGTAAATGAACGGGCTTCCGTCCATATTACGACCGTCGAATTGGTGAGCAACTTGCTTATTTCTTTAACCTATATGTATGGAACAATCGAGTGTCAAATGCTTTTCAGGGCTTTCCTGGTCCGCTCACTCCCATTACAGCTGAGTAGGTTCCGAGACTATCTAAACAATCGTACTGCGATACGTTTCGGTCTCTTTGCGGCAGTGAGTAAGGAGCCTCCGCATAATACTCAGACTCTGGCTCGTATTCCGAAACGAGATTTAGTCTGTTTAAAAAATGCAGCACACCGCCTAGTATTTGGGTGAAGTCGGTGAGAGTCCGGTCTTCAACCTATCGGGTGATTACTCTTTGTATAACTGGTATCCGTTCCGGACTTCAAGCTGTTGAATTCAAATCAATCTCTTTCGGCTTTCGACATGCTTCATCTTCGTCGTAGCAACATCACATTGATCTTTTTTGCATCCTACGTTACCGAACGGCTCTACGTGATCCTAAAGTGCGGCATTCTGTATGTTTTGTCTCTTGGTTCCGTCCAGAAAGCTACTCGATCTCGGTGTCAAGCCTGGCTGCACTTGCCTACGACGACAAATTGATGGTGCCAGAGCAGCTGAATCCGGGTCTAGACGAAACGCTCACCCCGGAACCAACCAGACAATCCACTCATTGCGCAACAAGCCAGCCGGACCAACCGAACACCACAGGCAGTGTTGGGGTTCAAGGCAGCCAGCCGACGCCGTTTCAATACACTCCCGTTCGTCTGTACACTCCGCCCCCGCTGGATCATTTACCTCAAGGTACACCAGTTCCGAATCCTCGGTCTCCTGCTCTGCATCCACAACCCGGACACGCGTCCCTCTTTCATCTTCACCAGGTGTTGCAACATCTACTAGTGGAACGCCAAACTCTCAATATGTCATCCGAAACTCTGGTCGCATTTTGTCCACGTTTCAGTCGCAGTCAACAGCGATCCACGCCAGTACGTCTACAAAAAGTAAAGCTCACTCGCCGCTCGGGAAGCGAGTCGATTGTCGGGACCATAAAAAGGCGTCCCTACTCGTGCAGGGTAGATCCACTAAAAGTGAAACTCAGGTGGATGACCAAGAAGCAATTTGGGTCGAACAATCACCATGCCAGTTCACCAAAACTTCACATGCCGCACCACTCACGCGAAAAGTCGCACTCCTTTCCAAGCTTGAGCGGAATTCGGACGTCAAAGCTTCTACAGGTATGCCCCCAGCTGACCTAAATCGTGAGGACCATATTCGTCAATTTTTCACGCTCTGCTTCTGATAAACCGCATTGATACTCAAACGCTACAACGAGCAGTATTGCGACGATGTTTGTTACCGGCAGATACTCCCGGCTATATTGATCAATAAACTAGGGCACGCTCACATGAGTTCGGACAACAGACCTTTCCACCGTCGAGTCTGTTGGTGTTCTCCTGGCGTTGTTGGAGCTCTTGCTGAGTGTCAGTGACTTTGCCGTAAAGTAATTCTGAGCCTCTGAATTTCATGATCAAACCGACTGTTAGTGAAAACTGCTCTCTCTAGCAAATTTACCGACCGGACCCCGAACTCGGTTCCTACTCAGCCTTTTCGGGTTACCATCCACAGGTCAGTACATTAGTACTGAAAATTGCATGAACCAGGCAAGCATCAAAGCTTTTTGGGAGAGGGGGTTTGCGTTGCAAATCATAGGCTGCATGATTTGAAGCAAGCGTCTCCAAATCCCAGAACGGCAACGTCTCCTCTAACGGACGTCCAGCATTCCGAAATTGATATCCAGAATATCGATTAAGACACGTTGTGTTAGCTGTAACTCCGACTGTTACATGCTTTCTTTACTCAACAGTCTCCCGTCTAGGACAGATTTGACACCCGTTCAGGTTTGGAGGTGTCTGATTTTTCCCCATTCTGAATCAGTTTTAGGGAACTCTATTCCCGGGTGTAATGTATTCGCCCTCGTAGTCGTCATTAGGATTTCGACTAAGATGCCTACACCTCTGGACAACACTGAAGTAAGCGCATTGGTTTATCATGTGGAATCATGGCATCACCAGCGGAATCGACCCAACCTCCTCTGGGATAGATACACAGGGGTAGTTGAAGTTTAGCTGAAAAATCCGGCTAGGAAATGATGGGGTTCGCGCCACTGGAGTTGACTGTGTGCTCTGTCTAGCCGGGTAATTTCCAGTCGAGAAGCGCGAGGAACCTACAACACTTGACTTGACTATAGCCGGTTTCACTTCACGTTGCCGCCTCATTATCTATCTCCGGCCTACCTTCTGGCAGCAGTGGCTTCTAACGGAAAACACTTTTTCGGTAGGGGTTGGTTAGGCACACGTACTATGTGCCCCAACCACTTTAGCTTTGTAAGCAGTTCTGATTCACTGCCAAATGATCGCCCACGCACCACTTCGTTGTGTAGTCGTTGCATCCAGAGTACTTTTGTCGTGCTATGGAGACGGCTGTGATCAAGTCATCAACCTAGTTCACATGACCGTAGGGTGAGGAAACTTGCAGGTGCCTTGGCAACGCAAAATTTAGCTTCAGCCATAAGTGACGCAAGTTCCCGAACGGTGCCCGCCCCCTTGATTATTCGCGCGCTGAATTCACTTGTTATAGTACAGTCAAGACGGAATACGTGAACCAATCAACGAACTCAGTTCTTCGTTCTGAGGTTTCACAGAAGCACAAGAAAATGGAAAGTTTTGCAGATGCAAAATGCATGACAAAAAGTGGGATCATGTGTGATATTCTGGTTAATGTACCTTGCGCGGACGTTAATCAACAAAACGGCGTCAAGGAACAAACCAACGATCATCTATGCTACCTGAGCTACCAGCATTCTCCTCTATAGCAAATTGATTTCGTTATATAGATTCGTGGTCCCTTAGAGACTACACCCATGGTAACATTAATGACAAAATTGGACAAAAAAGACCAGAGAGGGGCTACCCTGATAAACGTCGTTAGTTGTCAGGATGCTTCTGGACAGTTGGCTTTACATCCTAAACCGACCAATTATGTGATTATAAAAAGCACGAAGAATGTTCAGAAGCTCAAATGGCATTCCTCTTTGACCAAGAATATTAAGAAGAGTCGAAGACTACTTTAAATTGGACTGCGTGTTTGCTGTCTCCCAAGCACTTTACCTAATGTAAATATATTATCAGTGCCTTCCCTAGGTCGAAATCGTGCTTGATGGTCTCGGAATTGTTGCTCACTTGCCGGGTTGGAAGTCAGTAGCCGTGTTGCGACAGTAATGGGACATATATCCCTTTGGTGGGTCTGTTCGGTTACCTTTTTTAAACACCGGCACGACCTGTGATTGGCCCCGCTTTTCTGGAATACGTTCTTGTTCCGAAACATACACGAACACCCTAGTCAGAGCGAATCAAATATTACAGTTCATCATGGAGTCGCATTTGGACCAGTACTCGTTAACGAAGTACCATATCACGCTGCTAACGTCTGGATGGTGTGCTTGGATCCCGTACTCGAGTTCCAAAGGTGCAACAGATATCAGTTGATAATACAAGAGCAGCTTGTTGACCGACCCGTCACGAAGGGACTGGATCTTACCGTGGTGCGACGGTTTGCGCACCTCAATGGTCCGCGACACTCAGTCTCTCATACCAGGTTGGTCAATGGTTAGAGGTCTGACAAACACAGTTGCCTGGCCCTCCAGGTTTGGGGGTTGGAACATGTGGCGACTTGTTCCGCAGAAATATTAATGCATTTGTTTTCGAAAAAGCTTGGTGACAATCGGCAGATTAATGCATTTGTATTTCTCGTCAAACACCGCTGCCTTGCAGTTAGGCTTTTGAGCCAAAGGCTTTGGTTGAGGACCCTAATCGTCCTCCTGTCTGGGTGTGGACGCCCTGACAGTATCCCAGCCCACCGTGAAACTTACAACTAACAATTCTCCCATACCACATCGTCTGTCACTTGGTGCCATCAGCCGCGTTGCCTTAATCGCTGCATACAACAGGGCGGGTAAGCGAAAACAGACTATCGCTGACGCCTCCCTTTCTCTTTCATATATTTTTTCTTCCTCCTCCCTCCCCACCCCATTATAAATCTCTCCTTGTAGGCCCAGCACTTAGGACTGATGGCTCCGTCCGTCATGCATCGGTTTTGCGTGCAGCATCTGCTCGTCACATGGCGCCGACATTTTCAGGTATCTTCAAAGCAATCCTCAAGCCTCGACACCCAGTCTATCTGGCCGCGTTCAACGTCCGCACTCTGAAGCAAGCAGGACAACAAGCTGCTCTTGCGCTCGCACTGGAGTCTCTTGGCACTGATCTGTGCTGTGTCTTAGAAACGAGAATTCAAGATGCGAGCACAGTGGTTCAGCTAACTGCTCCGTCGGTCTTTACTCACTTCCGGCTGCACACCTCTGATGATCCAGAGGCTTCTGCGGCTGGTTGTGCAGGGGTTGGTATCGTCACCGGGTGGAAGTATCCTTGCCTAACTGGATACCTGTTGGTAGTCGCCTCTGTGCGGTTCGTCTGGCAACGTCTGTGAAAGAGTCTCACATGGGGAAAGTTGATCGCTGTCTATTTGTTGTGTCCGCTTACACCCCAACTGACTGTAGCTCCGACGCCGTCAAAGACAGTTTTTACGACGCCCTGCTGCGGTGAGTTAGAAGCCCATATATTGTGGTGGTTGCCGGAGATTTGAATGCACAAGTAGGCAGGTTCAGCGGATCTGAGACTGGACTGGACTCGGTACGTACGGACAATGGGGAACGATTGCTTCAGCTGTGTGCTGATCGCAGGCTGTTTTTATGCAGTACGAACTTCCGAAATAGCCGAAGTCGTCTGGCCACATGGTGTTCTTCAACGGCATACTGGCCACAAACGTCGATCACGTTGCCGTCAGCTATCGATGACGCGGATCAATAAATGACTGCCGGTCGTTTTGGCACACATTTGCGTATTCCAACCACGCGGTTGTTCGGAGTTGCTTATTCCTACGTTTTACTTGGCCGCGTAAGATACCGATAAATCGCTTGGCAACTGATAGACTGGCAGATCTGGATGTTAGACGAACTTACCAGAATTGTCTTATAGAGTCCCTTCCAAATGTTGCACCATCAGATGTGAACTCATACTGGGGCGAGATTGCCACCTCTTTGCATAGTACCGGGGAATTCGCCTGTAGCACGGTACCACCAGGCGCACTCAAGCACTGGATATCAAACCGAAAGGTTGCACTGCTCAAATCTCGGTGAGACATCCCAGCCAGTCCCGAACGATGTAGTTAGAAAGCACTTTCTCGGTTGTGCAACGGGTACTTCCATTGAAGAATGTGTCCGGCACCTGAATCTGCGTTGGTTGGGACATGGGTTGCGTATGCTCACCATCTTTTACCGAAGAGGGTTCTGTTTTTCATGCCCAACTCATGGCGCCTTAGGCAGAGAGGTGACCAACCCTTGACCTGACAGAGGGGTATGAAGGAGATCACGAAACGCTTGGGTGCTGTCGGTGCTACTCGCTTTCCAGGATGGGGACCGCGTGGTCCTCACTGTGCCTGGTTGGAGACACTACAAGATATGGCTGCCGATCTTGTCAGTTTCTATCCTGATCGCCTGAGTGAATGTCTGGAGGCGTAGGCACCTCGTAATGATTGTGGCAATCTAGCACTAAGTCCCTTTCCTGTCCACCTTTTTATTCTTTTCTTTACAATAAGGCTTTCAAATAAATCATGGTTGTACGCCAGCGAAGCATCGGTGTTGAACACTAGTGTCAGGCTGTTGATGATGATGATTGTTGGTCGATCTGCCAGCGAGTTCGCACGTTGAAGGTTGATGTAAAAACAGGTGAACGGTGCATCACTCGCGATCATGGAACAGTTCAGATGAGTGGTGGCTTGAGATGTATCGATTCCGCGGATGCCTCACTGACGTGCCTACATCTGGGCTCAACATGGATTGGTTAACAAGTGGGACAGGAGGGGATAGCAGTGAAGCACAGTGAAAGGAATCAGTGGTCATGTGTACTCTGTGATCCCTGTTCTATGCGGCAAATAAGGCGACACGATTGATATGGCATGCAGATACTCTTATTTGTGAAGTTTATGGTTGTATGTGGGTTGAGATATCGCCAGGGGGCCTAAACCCAGACGAGGACTATTAGGTTTCTCAGCCAGAGCCTTCTTTCCGAATGTTCGACCACAGTGTAACGCTGTTCGAGGTGGAACTATGTGAATAGTCCAATTTTTAATCGATGAACAGCCACACGTGCTCAGTCCCCAATCTAGACTATTTATCATCATCATCATCATCAACGACAGCATGACATCAGTGCTCAACACCAATGCTTCACTGCCGTACAGCCATGACCTATTTGAAAGCCTTATTGTAAAGAAAAGAATAAAGGTG